AACCTGTGCTAGCGTTCTACATATGTCACCTGAATAACCCTACAAAATCTACAATTTTACTCCAACATGTATTGAGTTTTTCTTAGAATATTGATTTGGGTGTACCTGGTTCCTATTGTGACTACGAATTGCCCCATTTTTTCTCACGGTTCACAAACTTCTAAATTCCTGACTTCTTTTCAGAGGCTCATACTTAAATTCCCAATGTGTTACCAAGTTTTCATCTTTCAGTGGCACTAGGTCTTATTGAAGGTCACCTGTCTTATTTTCTGCTCATACAGCACCATCAACTGGAGCCCAAGGTTGAAATACTGATTAGCCTATCTTGTCACCAGCCAAGACATTTACCCAAATCTGTAGATTTTACATCTGAGAACTCAATCTGCCTTTTATATGATACTTTTTCTTTTAAATTACAAAGGCAATCCTTTCATTTTGTGTCTTGTGTTTCTGTATTTTCCTAGGAGCTTTTAATCAATATTTTTCTAGAAGCTTTATATCACACCCTGACTAGCCTTGTTCCAATCCATTATAGAAGTTCTAGCATGATAGCACTCCCCAAGCCCACAACTGTTTATTCCATTTCTTTCCCACTACTGAATTAACTACACAATCCCTAGGCGTACTGAAGAACCACAGCTAGGCTCTTGTCTACTTTTCCTGTTTTACCCGTCTTTCTTCCTGGACTACATGACATCCCTCCAACTATTAAGTTGGCTACACTGTCTCAACTTTATTTTCAGGGTCTATGTCCTCTTGAATACATTCCTACCTGTCTTAGTTACTTTTCTCTCATTATTATTCTCACAAAATACCTGATGCCCAAAGTGAAGCAAGGGAAGGTTTATTTCTTACAATTCTTCGAGATTTCAGTGCATGCTCAGCTGGCTTCAAGGCAATATGGCATGGCAGGGAAGACATTCATGGCAACCACAAACAGCAAGCAGGAACAGAGCAAAAAAGAGATAGACATGCCTTCTTCTTGCCCTTACGCTATATGTTGGCTGAAACCCCTGGACAGGTGCAACACTCACCCCACTAATCCCAGTGTTAGACAATGAATCAATCACTAATGCCAGACTCAGCCTCATCCATGACTGCCTGAGGTTTTGGTGAGCTATCCGAACACAAACCATAATACTACCTCAGACTGTTGGTATCCTGTTCATGACGGAAGCTCTGCCTTTTATTAAGAATATGTGTGTTTCTCGATCATCTCTTTTACTATTGCATATGACTTGAGGTCTGTCACATCTTCTACCTCATAGTCTGTCACATACTACCTCAGACTGTTGGTATCCTGTTCATGACGGAAGCTCTGCCTTTTATTAAGAATATGTGTGTTTCTCGATCATCTCTTTTACTATTGCATATGACTTGAGGTCTGTACAATCTTCATCTCTTCGAGCACTGTTGCTCCTTCCGTAATGCTTATTACATGTCTGTCCATTACATTTTGTTAAATTTACTGAAAAGATTAAACTTTTATAAATTTTTGGCCATGAAGTCATGTCACTGGTTTATAGGATTGAAGGATACACTTAATCTTACAGGAAAAATAACAACTTCATGCTAAAATCTAGAAGTTGGCATATTATTTCTTAGAACTCAAAAACTTGTGTTAGAATTCATTTTCCTCTGCTTTTATTTTATTCTTAACCTACACAATTACTCTAGCATTAATGTTATTTCATTATAAATGGCTCATAAGAAAGAGTTTTTTTATGAAAAGCATTAATATGTTTTAAGATTAGAAAATTGGGACATGAAGATGCAGTAACTCATAGTAAGGTTTTTGAACTCAAGAAATTATGGAATCAGGTTTCAGATTAATATGTCTTTGTCCTTTCTCTGCATGTTATAGTGACCTAGTATATCATATGGTCAAATACTGTTTGTCTTAGTCTGTTTGGTTACTATAACAAAATATCTGAAGACAATTGATTACATGGGCCTGTGCACTAAAATCTAAACATGTTTTTTGTGGTGCCAGGGATTAAACTCAGGTTTTTTTGCACATCAGGCAAGTGTTCTACCACTAAAACATATCCGTAGCCCATAAACATTTTAAAAGTATTGAAATGTCCTGGTCATTCTAAAGAAGGTGCTACAAATAAGGTTAAGTGATGACATAAGTCAATGGGGTGGCCGGCAACAGGGAGGGACACCTGTGGCCCATAATAGAGAGGGAGCTGCTGTTTAATGCACTAAGAAACTTGTGCATCTGGGATGGAAAAGTCTTCTAAGCACTACTGTTCTTATAAAAACTCAGAAATCTAAAATTCCAGTAAGAATTTGGATTTCAAATACATAATCTGTATGTATGATAATTAACTGCATAAAATCTTACAAGATAAATAAATGAATCAAAATTTTAGCAAAAAAATGAGAAGGGAAAAATAAAAAGAATTAAAATGTGTTATACATATGTACCAATTTGATACAATGAATGTAATCATTTTCTACTGCAAACATAGTAATAAAGGTCTTTTTAAAAAGCAGTCTATTAATAAAATAAACCAATACAGATAAGTGCAATGATTCCAACTTTTCTGAAGGATGTGCAAGTGAAATTAAAGGCACTAGAGCGCTGAAGTCAGTCTAACTGACACTTGTATATGACCTTCGTTTACAGACTGACATTTAATCTGACCAAAGATGAATCCCCCACTCAACAATGTGGGAGTCTGAGTACCTGGTTTCCACTTGTCTGTGGCTTTTAGGAATGAAAGAAATGTTCACTCTTGGAGAATGAGTAATCTGCTCAAATCACTAATGGAAATGACATAAGCCATTAGTCAATGATATCAAGGGATTCTAGATAATATAAGCATTCATTTGATGGCAGCTCATGCTGATGCTGCCCCTGCTGAAAACTCCTGCAAGCTCTAACCTAGACCTACACAGTCACTCCTTTCCTCTGCTTGGTGCCTAAAAAAACATGCTTGTGCTTAGTTAGTAATCCTTGCATCAGTCATTTGTTCCTTCGCAGCTACCTTAGTTTTTTTTAAGCTAACTGTATTGGTTCACTTTTGATATACATAATAATCACATTCAACATGAGGAATTTGTACCTGTGCACAAAATATCTCGATTCTTCTGTTTTCCCCATTTCCCTTCTCTCCTTTCAATTTTTCTTCCTCATTTACAAAAGTTTTGCTTCATTTCTTTACTTTACTCGCTTTCCCCTCTTTTCTCTTCTCTCCTTTTCCTCTTCCCTCCCCTTGCTTCCCTTCTTATTTGAACATTTTCTTTCTCCTTCCCAATGTCTGTAAACTAAATGAGACAGATACAAATTATGAGCCCCAAGTAGAGTCTGATATCTTATGCCTAGAACTTCCCTGTGACTGACACGATGGTCTGGTGAATAGGCACCAGGAATACTCATGTTCTCTATGTTGTTGAAGCTCTATCTATAGCCTTCTGCTCATGAGAGCAAATTAGTAGATCAAGGTACAATAAGACCTTCATTCTTGTATCCTTTAAAGTATTTATCAAGTCTGCTCTGTTGAGTGCTCAGAGTCAAAATGTTCCTCCTATCCCTGCAACTCCAAATATGGCCAGTTGACCAAAAATAAATGAAAAACCAGACATAGATAACTGTATAATCCTCACCACAACTTGTGAAAAAGCTCTGTGTACGATATCTGTCAGTCAACTACATACCATCCCGCTTTTGCACAGTGTAAGGCAACATCATTTGCACTCACCAGACTTCTGTGTCCTATCCGTGGCAGTGTGAGCACCCCAACTCCTTTGTGAAAAGAGTGAAACAATTCCAATCTTTTGGGTGCTAAAATTTTATCTATGGACTAATTATACTCTCTCAAAATCAAATTTGAGATGATTAAAGGATTTATTTTCATTAATTCTTTGCTCTTACCCCCTAAAATTCTGCCATTAAAGGTCCAGAGAATTTCTTCTAATCCTCTATTCAAAAAGTACTTGTAGCTGTCATGTAATTATATGCCAGTAAGAGTCTTTTTCCATTTGTCATCTTTTCATAATAATATGCACAGTTTTTTGGTTCTCAGCCTCAAAAATTATGTTAATGTAGCTGAACAATAATTCAAAGTGTAACTACTAATTTCTCTAAGGGGAAATATGCAGAGACCCTGTGCTCTACATTTGTTTTCTACTAATTATCATGTATTTATTTTTCCATTAGTTCAATAATTTTTCTTTCAATTCTGAATTAAGCAATAAGACACTGAATTATATAAAGACCTGTTTAACATAGCAGACACATCCCATCATTCCCTAGTCCTCTGATTTATAGCTCTTAAAATACATAATCAAGAGGCTTATATATGTCCTTTCATATTTATAGTCCATCATAACTTGATAACTTATGTGTTCTCAGAAGGTCTACCTAGCAATTAACTTCATTTTTTCTAACTCATCATCTCATTATATAAAGTAGATTTGAACACAAACTTTATTAGCAACTTTCAGTTCTAATTCCTTTTATCTCCCTCATCCTTATTCTGCAAAGTAACAAAAATATTCTGCAAAATGACAATTTAAAAAAATACACATTGGACTTGCTGCACATTTAGTAATTGGTCTTTGCATTTAGGCCACCACTATAAATGAGGATTGTCATAATTCACCTGAAGCATGTGATGCAATTTTTTATAAAATGGAAATGAATTCTCCCTACCACATAACACAGCATTTTAACTGTTTAGGAGGAACAGACTAGCAAAGAAGCTGCTATTTTTATTCAAAAGGTCAAAAAAAAAGAATTAAACCAATCCCAAATGCTTTGTTAAAAAGTAAAGGGATTTGCAGCATCTGTTACAATTGTAGGAAGAGGAGGGACTTTTTAAAAATAGTTAAATGCACCAGTAAAGAGCTGAAAGGAGCTTTCAGTGGATGTTCTTATGATAAGGATCCCAAGGGTTTATGGGGTTCTCATAAAACTGAAGGAAACACAGTTTTTGGAGAAATTTCCAATGCATGAGCCAGGAAAGCTCTGGACAGAGTCACTGACTTACCTACATCAGGGTCCACAGCTTGTACTCTGGTTAACAGAGCCTTAGTGGCAGTGTTCTCATAGACACAGGCATTGTAGTGGTCAGAAGAAAACACAGGCGGGTTATCGTTCACATCCTCTAGGATCAGGCGGATATCAGACTGGCAAAATCTGCCACCTCCATCAGTGGCCCTGGCGATTAGATTGTACACTGGGACCCTCTCTCGGTCCAATAAAGCCAAAGTTTTTAACTCACCTGTGAAAAGACATGACAGCACAGTCGGTCTGGATTTTCAAAAACTGCCTTTCTTGAAAAACAAAGAATCAATTCAATAAATATTCTAAATATGAGAAACGCAGACATTTGGTTCAAATGTCCTATTATTTGATAAAGGGAACGTATTCAATGTTTTTAAGCATTAGGGAAAAAAGTATAGCATTCTGAATGCGACAACAAACCATAGGACCTTCAAATTCATCTCTCTGTCATACCTGACTATCAATTTTTCTATTGGCTCATGAAGAAGCTTCGTAGAAAAGTCACGGAAAATGGACTAATATATGTGGTTGTTTAATGGTTAACAATGTCAATAAACTTTTTATTTCCAGATACTCAACTGTTTACCCTGTCTTTTAGATGAAAATAAAGTAATTAAAGCATACTGATTTTACAGAACAAAGTCCTGCAGTACTCAGACTGTGTTGGGGATAAACTTTGACTTCCTGGATTATGGAGGGGCTTGTGGTTTAGGGGTGGACTGGGACAGGCTTGGGAAGTTTTGGAGCAGCAGTTACTTGACAGCCAGCCTGGAGGTCTGTTTCATTCGTATTGTCATCACTGGAAAAGTTACACAGCTGCTGCTGGATGCCAGCCTCTGGAAAGCTGTTTCTTATTTATTTATTTAGGATGCTGTTTAAGACTTAATGAGAAATGAGAATGAACACAGTGACAAACCTAATAGACACAAAGTATTTGACACAAAGTAAGACTTATAAAATAGTATTTTTAAATAAGGTGGCAGAAATTTGGATTAAGACAACTGTATTTATAAGGCAGCTCCTCCTATGGCTTCCCTGTTGCAGTCAGCCAGTTCTCAAACACAGGTCACATCATTTCTCTCTTGTGTTCAAGAAGATCTAAGCAGCTTTTTAGCAAAACATTCAAGATACCCATTATCTTGTGCAAGAAAGCAGATAGAGCTGTTTTCCTGCTGAGGTAGGAGTTTAGGGTCAGGGCAAACTGGACCACAAACTGGGTGAAATGTACCAAATGTTATAAAAACTTAGAAGATACATGCAGAATAAAGAACCAAAAATGACACCTGAACACTGCAACTGGGACCAGTCAGAAAAGTACTATTTTCAACCCTTCATGTGCAGATGAACACAATCAATTTGAAGACAAGGTGTTCCTGAGCCTTTTCTCTGGCTACTTTCACCCAGTGGGTGTACACCTCACTCAAAACTTCAACAAATGTACAACTCTGCTGCCTTTTCTATGTGTCTTGTCCAACCAAGACCTGCAAAGACTCCCATGGGTTCCCCAATCCCATAACACTGCCATTTTGTGGATTACACTTAAGGGGTGTGCTCTGTTCTCTGCTCATGTTGTCCCTATAGCCTGCAGTATCCTGCTTAAACTTCTAGAATTCAGGTTTAGTTCAAATGTTAGCTGTTCCTTAAAGTAAGTTCTCTTCCTTCTTCTCAGAATATTAGCTACTACATTTTCCAGTGTTCCCAGGTATAACACCTTTTACACTCTCCTTTTATTCTACCTTTCATTATTACTGGCTTTCTTGTTATCTTCCCTACTGGATTACAATAACCTTGGGCATGATTGGTTTTGTTTATCTTGGTGTCCACCACACAAATCCCATAAAGTGCTTTTATGTCTATCAGGTACTCAGTGTTACTGAATAAATAAGGACGGGGTCCAGATATCTAAGTAAAATATTCCCACGTAGCTATGTCAGCACTTTGGAGGAAGATAGAAGGTCAGTGGGAGTAGAGCAGTAATTCTTGATAACTGGGACCAACAAAATACTGGAAATATTCAAACTTTTAATTTTTAAACTCCACTTAAAAATTGCCATTGGATAAGCTATCCAATTCACAATTTATAGTTTGCTTCAATGGACAATGGCTTTTTTATTAGCTCTAGCCTTCAGTGTAGGTATCTGCCTTCAGGGGTATATAACCTTTCACCTTATAAATTTTACCTGAATATTCAAGAAATCTGAGGGCTCACCACTTTGGAGAACTAGGCAGGAATGTTTAATGAAAGCTAGACAACTGCCTAAATAAAAATGAAGAAGGTACCATAGAGGGATTTAAAGAACAATAAAACTTTCTTTACTATGCATTGCTCTCCAATTCATACTGCAAACTTTTATAAGGTGATGCCTAACTCACGGATGGGAGAAGCAAATAGATGAGTGTGCCTTTTTGATGCTAATAAATGCAGAGAAAGTCTGGGCAAGTCTCATAAACTAAACACAGTTTAGTTTAGTTGTGCAGTCCAGAGCACTACATCTGGCATAATATACCCCTGTTAATTCTTAGTGTCCAAGATACCAGGGCATCATGTGAAGGCTCTAGAATACTAAGTAAGGTGTCTCATGTGGTCCACTGTTCATGCAACTGTTGCAGGCAACTGAGTTAGATAGAAATATTATAGGCAGTCAGATAGGGCTGGGCCCTTAAAGGAGCCAGGGCAGAAGGCCAGATACCTTGCAAATGTAGAGGAGACAGACATCTTCACTATGGGCCAGAACTCAAGACAAAAGATAAACCAAATGTACCCACATAATTCCTAAGGATAAACATGAGGAATTGATATTCTAAATAGGTCTCTATCACCCTGAGGAAGCCAAGAGTCATCATCCCAACACCCTACAGGAAGTCACTACTTTTTAAGTATGCCTGCTTTCTATGTGACTTAATACCTCATTTGTTCTCACATAATGTAATCAATTTTATTTGAGCAATTAATCTTATTGGTTGGCCATAGTTCTGTCCCACCTCATGCTTGCCTGTCTTGCCAGTTTCCATGTTTTCCCAATCTTGGGCCCATTTCACTCAGTGGTTTTTGCTTTATAAAACTCCCTAGAAAAGACAGAATCTTTGGCAGCCCACTTGAGATCTTTTCTGTCTCTCTCTCAGACAGAAGTTTTCTTTCTCTCAATAAATATATTCTGCTCTTAACCTCCATTGTTCCTAAAGTTCATTCTTCGATGTTAGAGAACATGCATTCATACTAGACATCTAGTAGAGAAGGAGTTTCATTCCCCTATATCATAACTACCTAAGAGTCTGAGATTTCTCATGGAGGGAAAAACAGTGGTGTATAGCTAAAAGATAAATGTCACCTTACCACTTTCTGGATCTAGAAAAAATTCATTGCTTCCAGATCCATAGAGTGAGTACCGAATGTCTCCACTAGATCCAATATCAGCATCATTGGCACCGACCTTGAGGATGATTTTATTAGATGGAATGTCTTCAGGAAATGATGCTGTATATGCCACCTGGAAAAAGGTATGCAAAACTAACTAAATCATCACTATTTGGGGAATGATTTCCCCAGTTAGCTATTATTCATGGGTTCTCTAAAAATTCATTTGTGTAGTTTACCTTCAACTATTTTTTCTTTGGCTATTTATACTGCACCGTATGGTAAAACATGGCGTCTTGCTGCCTATTCTTCCCATGTTCATTCATTCAGAAAATATTAGTAAGCACTGTCTGTGTGTTCAGTGCTGTAAGACGCACGAGTGCAATGGAGAAGAAGATAAAAATCTCACCCCTGTGAAACCAAGACTTGACACATCATACACTGTGCCCATTTATCTTGTGAGATTCAGTGAGATTCTGGGATTCTTTTCAACTCTTTGAAAACCAACTACTAACATGTGAAATTTGCATCAGAGATCTATTTCTAAGCTACAGAACACCATTCTGTCTTGATTCACATAGTAAGAAAAGTATGTTCAATAATGATTAATTCAAATAAAGAAGAAACTGAAATTTAGTATTAGCACCTTTTAACATGTTTAGAACAGCAATTTAAAGGTTACTTCATGAGGATCCTAGAAACTTGTGCTCAGTACCAACACTGTCATTAAATTAGCTGCGTAAAAAAGTAATATACAGACAAGTCTGTTAGTAATTTAGATCAAAGTGATAAGGTACTTTATAAATTACTTATTTAATTTTAAGATTTATTCCCTAACCCAAAATTAGGTACTTGGTCTTACTAGCTATATTCTTTTCATATTTAGTGCATTTTATTATAGACTCTACATTCTACCCTCTTTCCTCCAACCAAACATAAGAACAGATTTTAGTTTGGCCATAAGAAGAAAACTCAGCCTGGAATACAGCTCAGTAGCACAGTGACTGCTTGGCAAGCACAAGATTGTGAGTTTGATCCCTAGTACCAAGGGGGAAAAAAAAATAAAAAGAAAACTCACATGAGTCTTGGTTTAATTTTAGAGAAGCAGAAGTATAGCTCTGTTGAGCTATAATCCCCAGCTCTCACCTGATCACACACTGGACTATTGTCATTTACATCACTGACGGTCACTTCTACCATGGCCTGTGTGACAAAGAGCCCATCAGTAGCAGTGATGTTGAGGAAGTAAATATCTTGTTCTTCTCTGTCTAGAGGCCTCTTCACATAGACTTTCCACTCACTCTGTACCAGGCCCAGAGCAAACCTTCCTCGGGGGTTTCCTCCTGCAATGGAAACAGAAGTTCTGAAGATGTGGGTGACATGCCTGCCTTGGTCTATATTAAACATGAGAGGCCCATGCAGGTTTATCCAGGTACTCCTCAAACTGTATATCATTGATGACACTGCAAAAAAATTCATATTCCCTTTGATTCTCCTGTAACAAAACATGTTATTTATATGCTGGGCTTGTGAGGAAAGTAAAACAGTGACTTTCCAAGGGAATAAAATCCACTTAGAGAAACAGGAGATGATCTCTTGTTTAGTTTCCCTTAAGGACAATCAAATTCAAACTGTGAACAATCAATCCTCTTCTCAGGATGTTACAATTGTCTTTTCACTTAGTCTCAAGAGAAGATGTAATACACTATAGCTCTTGTTACCAAGACAATTTCATTAACTGTTGATTATGCAATCAAGAAAAGGCAGTCAGTTCTATTAAGCAATCTTTTAATGAAGGCTTTATCATACAGCTGTGTTCTTTTCATAAGCGTGGGAGTTTGGGGAGAAAAGTTTACACGCCAGAACAAGACCCGTTAGTATTTAATAGCCCTAACGAGAGGTCATTTAAGAAACAGTTCAAAGATAAGCCCTAAAATTAGGTCAAATTTATCAGAATGAAGCTGGGGAAAGTAGAAGAAAAGTAGAAGAGATGAAGTGGAACGGCTTTTTATGATGCTGAAGCACTGGCATGGTCACAGCCATGTTACCTTTCTGCTTCATTAATCTACACGGAGACTAAGCTAGCTTAGCACAAGGTAGGGAGAGGAGGGAAGAGAGCTACCTTGACCTTCTGATCCCTAAAAGGAAAAATAATGTTAGCTGAAATACTGAGAAAGACAGGGCTGAAGACACTTGGTAAGAGTCTGGGGCCAGGTAAAAGGATCACCATCTTGTTTTTTCTGTTACTCAGTTACTTTTCACCCTCTTGGGGACACTGTTTTAGGCAGCAAAGTAACAGTAGTGGGCAAAACTAACAAAAATCCTTGCTCTTGTGGTGAAACCCACATTATAAAGGAAAGGCTTACCACAGTTAAAGTAATTATTGTATTTGGCAGAGAAGGTGCCAGTACTTTAAAGTTTCTATGAGCAAAACCAAATTCCAGCTCAAGCAAATAGCAAAACTAAACTTTGCCAAAGAGAAAGTGGGAACTAACTTCTGAAAGGTGTCAGGAAGGTAGTTAGATGTTAGTGAATCTTCAGGGTAAAGAGGGTTCAAAATAGTTATGGTTACTATCAAATACTATTATAGTAAATAGTTATTTAGCCAGTTATAGTAAAAAAAAAAAAAACAAGCATTATAGACAGCTAAGTTAGGTAGAAAGATTATGGACAGTCAGGCAGGGCTCGGCCCTTAAGGGAGTCAGTGCAGAAGATCAGAACACATCAAAACTGGTTGTAGGTGTGTATCTGAAGATTAGTCACCATGGCCAGATCTGTGTACTTCACTAAGGGATAAAGGCAAGTTTGAGATTATTGATATCACACTTTTATATTTCCTTTTATAAATAAACCATTATCTCATTTAAATTGGGGAATACTTTACCATCCATTAAGGGTAATATTAAGATTACTAAAACAAGGGGCTGGGGATTTAGCTCAGTGGCATAAGCGCCTGCCTTGCAAGCAGGCAGTCATGAGTTCGATCCCTGGTACCAATAAAAACGAAAAAGACCAAAAAAAAAAAAAAAAAAAAAAAGAAAAAAAGATTACTAAAACTAAGACTAAAGATAAGACTAAGACTATAGATTACTGACCAAGGTTAATGACATCATCTATATGTCCTTGTTACTACTAGATCAATATTAGAGAAATGACTATACTTGTAATCTTCTTGGTTGGTTACTGTTTTGACCCCCATTCTACTCAACTCATGATTTCACTCTGTAAAACTCTCTCAGAGAACTGGGCTCATTGCAAACCCTGATTCAGGACTCCTCCTGTCTCTCAGGAGCTATTCCTATCCCCCATTCCTTTTCCCCGACAGGTTTTGCTACTCTTAGCCTCAGCTGTTTCTTAGAATTCATCTTTCGACTTTAGCTGACATCTAGCTGGTTGAGAGTTATACCCTTTCCCCAATTTCACAAGAAACTCAAGAGTATGATACATTTATAATCATTTGTTTGTTCTCAGACTCAGAAGGACTTTCCGGAGCATAATGACTTGTTCAAATTACATATTGTGCACATTTATCCTAATATCTGGCCAGCTGGCCACCCATTTACAAAACAAAGGATATAGAATTCCTGTGCACTGTGGCCTGTGGCATAGTGATATCATAAAGGAGAACATTCTTTAAAGACCTTCCCACTTTGGGCTGATAGGTGATTTAGAATAGAACTTTATCTTTCATAAATTTCTTGCATGACTAAGCTCCTCCCCAATATACTGATCATCTAAAAAGAACAAGGAAAACATTTTGCAATTCCAAAGTAACCTTCAAGAAAATTGTTGATAATCATAGTTAACACATTTTGTGAATCCTAGGAATTCTTGAGTGGATAAGAAGATACCTAAACTCTAACTTGGTAGTACTGCCTATGGGGCTCAACCCACTTTCTTGCTTGAATCATAAATATCTCTACTTATACTTTTGCAAGGCCACCTAAGTATTTTGACTGAATTCTTTCATGAAAGCCCAAAGAACCGAGAGCTGGTTCCTCAGGGCATCAGGGCCCTTGGCGATTAATACAGGGATTTTACTCTTAAACTTTAAACCAAATACTTCCTTTGTCTTCCTACAAGAGAATATTATAAAAATTTTCCCATAGTACCTATGGGAGACCCTGAAAAGTTTGTGGTGTGGAGCTGCTATGTGCTCCAACAAACTTTATTGTGTCTAAGTTTACATTCGAACACAACTAACAAATAAATAACAAACTGTATGCTGAGTGCTACTTCACTGAAATGATGAAGCCACGTCTCCTTCTAACGGGTCTTAAGGAAAAAACTAAGTAAAGGGCAACAGCAAGCATCATGACTCTATAGGAGAGACTGCAAGGGAAGGAGTGGGATTCTGAGGGCCAGAATGTACTCTGGGTTGTAAGGTATATGGAATTGGTTGCATTCAGAGCCTCCGCACTGTGGGGATTCCGTTAAATAATCATACTCAAGTTTTGCAGAAAGTATGGAAAACATTTCTCTTGGATAGTGTCTTTCAGCTGGGGATTGTGCCTTTTCTCTCTCTGCGATATTTGTCAGTGTCTGGAGATGTTTTTCTTGTCATGTTGGAAGCATGATGGTAGTATGTGGTACAGGAATTCAGTAGGTGGAGGGCTGGGATGCTGTGATGCATCTTATAATACACACAAAGCCAATCCCCAAGAACTATACATCGCCAAAGATCAATTGTGTTGCTGAAAAATCCTGGTCTAAAGAGGCTTTGGGTCCTCCCTGGGATATCACTTTCCTTACCAGTGGCTAAGGTTCAATTGTGCTTTAGTTGAATATTATTTCAGTGCACATAAATTTAATCTATTAAATGCTTTCAGTGCAGGCAGGCCCACACCATTTTTTGTTACATAAAATAATTAATGATCCTTTGTTAATCTGAGGCAATGTAGCCAAGTTGTGCTACACCAAGAGCAAAAGTTAAATCTAATTAAAATCAGTCGGTGGTTGGTGCTGCTAATAGTAACGATAGCTTTAAGCTACTCTGTACTCATTACTTTGGTAAAGTTGATGGGATGGTCCCTTTAAATCATCTGTTGAGAATTTAGAGACTATGGAAAAATAATTAAGGCTGAATAATTAACAATTCTTCCAAATAGGAAAGTAGCCTACAAAATGCCTTAGAAGCTTTCACCCTAAAATGAAATGCAAATAAATCAAAAGGTAGCTGTATGCACCTTTCTTTCCTTACCACTATCTCACATTTTCACTGCAGAAATATATATTAGTGAAAAAGACTGAAGGTATCAGAAAAGCATAAAATATAAAAAAAATTCTCGTAAGTAAAACACCTTCGATCACAGTTCCACAAAGAAAGAGGTGACTAATATTGAAAAGAACTGAAACTCCAAGCATTGACATGTTTATTCTACTGTGGATCTTATTCTGCAGTGATTAATTAACTTTTCCACTAACATATTTAAGCAGATTCTGTGTCCTAAGGGTATTCTAATTAATTCACTTTTCACTCTGAATAATGTGGTTTTTTCTAAAGGGAAAGCCACCTGACTATAAGTATTGATGGAGTCTTTAAAATCTTTTGGCACTCTGCTTATGCTCTGGCTTTGAATGTTACAGCATCAAAATTTAGCTTAACTGCCTTCCTCCAAATCATTTTTAGGAGGGCTGTCTTCGTATTACTAGCCTTTTTCTCTTTGTTGTCAAAGGCCTGTCAGTCCTAGCAAGCTACTCCTAATCAATGACAACCCTTTTCACTCTGACATGAAATCCTTGCCTCTATAAAGCAGTAGCGACATTTTTGTGCACTTTTGGTGACCTCATTCATCTATCTTGGTTTTTCCAATGAATTGCTACTTTATTATTTGGAAAGACAGAAAAGGAGCCAAGTAAATGGAATTTTCAGAAGAAAACCCCTCTTGATTTGGAATTATAATTTAGGACTTAGCAAAATGTCAAACTATGCGTTCCAGTTTGTCTATGTGTGTGTCTGTGTACTTTTATGACCAGGAAAAACTTGTATGTGAAGCATACTGAAATCAATCTGTTCAGTTTGCTTAGTAATAAAAACAATGGAGAAAAAAGAGATATATTTAGAAATGTCTCTACTCACCCAAAAGAGCTGTTATTTTCAGTTATTCAACTAAAATATTTGTCTGGACTTCTTTATGACTTGATAAGTGACACAAAGATTGAGAGCCAACCTTGGTAATGCTGTAGACAAATAAATGAACTCCAGGCAAAGGCTGAGTTAACAACCAATGGTCAAAAAACCAAATCTATTATTGAGAGATCTTTAACTTTGCCAGGAAAGGCTTTATTGCTCTTAGGTCCTTACCTCATCTTCCTTCTTCTCTTATACTCTTACTCACTCACATCTCCCATCTTTATTTAGTAAGTAGAGCACACGGTGAGACCTGGGTGTCGAGACTCACCTGTAATATGGTAGCTCACTTGGCGATTAACATCAGAAGTATCTCTGTCCCATGTGCTGAGTACAGCCACCACCTCTCCTGGAGGATCACTCTCCTTCACATTCCCTCGATATACCTCGTGGGCGAATACTGGTGCATTGTCATTTATATCCGTCACCTTGACAGAGACCAGAGCCATAGAAGAAAGAGAGAATGCCTCTCCCAGGTCAGAGGCCACCACAGAGAAGGAGAAGGCAGGGTCTGTCTCGTGATCCAGATCCTTCAAGGTACTGATCCAGCCTGTGTTGCTGTCAATATTGAATGCTTCCATTACCTTTTCGGGATGGGAATCTGAGTGGAGGGAATAAGTGACCTGCCCATTGGCTCCCCAATCCATATCGGTAGCTCTCACCTGTGTGAGCTTGGTGCCAACAGGCATCCCCTCCATTATGATGGTCTCGTAGCTTGAAGTTTCAAAGACTGGTTTGTTGTCATTCAAATCCAATACCTTGATGTCTATGTCCACAGTAAACACAATGTCTACCTTGTCCAGGGGGATAGTAGCTGCCACTTTAAAGTGGAAAACTGGGCTAATTTCATGGTCAAGGCGCTTGTCAAGTTTAATAGTGCCTGTTTCCTGTTCTACGATAAAAACATTCCCTTTGTTATTCTCTGGCCGTTCCCCATTAACTGTACTGAAGCGGACATTCTGACTGGGTAAAATCCTCAGGGTGTCCACTGTGCTTCCAATGGATGCATCTTCTGCAATGGTAAAGGAATACTGAGACTGAGTGAATGAAGGCAAAAATGTTTCAGGGGGCAAGACATGGATGTAGACAGGAATGAGGGAGTGCTTTACTGGAATGCCCCCATCGACTGCTTTGACAAAGAATGAAAGTACTGTATTTTTCAGCTGGTTAAAATTGCCCTTTGTAACCATCCATCCATTGTCAGGATCAATTTCCAAGAGGTCAGCCACTGAGACAGAGGCCTCACTATAGAGGGAATAAGTAATCCTTGAATTTGCTCCATCATCTGGATCCATTGCTTGAACCTGAGTGACCAAGTGGCCCCTTCCCACATCTGCCCTTACACTGGCTCTATATTCGACTGTCAGGAACTGGGGTGCATTGTCATTTTCATCCACAACGATTACTCTTACTGTGCAAAAAGTTGTTCTTCCTCCACCGTCGAGGGCCCTCAAGAAAATACTAACATCTCCTTCCAAAGGGTTTTCCCGGTCTAGCCGTTCAGTTGTGATGACTTGTCCATTGCTATCTATGAGAAATCGATCCTTGGCAAAATCATTAATAATGGCATAGCTGATCTGACCATATGTTCCTGGGTCCCCATCTGTGGCTCGAATATGAATTACCTTTGTACCAGCAGCTGCATTCTCTCTCACCTCAGCCACATATGTGCTTTGCGAAAAGGCAGGGCTGTACAAGTTAGCCCCTAGTACCCTGATATGTACCTGTGCCGTGCTGGTGAATAACCCATCAGAAACTGACACATTGAGACTATACAGAGGCTCCATCCTCTGCTTTCGGTGGTTGGACAGGGTGATGACTCCACTTTTGCTGTCCATCAGAAAGCTTGTCCGGTCATTTCCAGACAAAATGCTATATTCTAAGCGGTCAAAGTCAGAGCTGTCTGCATCTGAGGCTTGCACACAGGTTACAAAATGGCCCCGGGGGGCTAATTCACTTACATATGACTCATAAATGAGTTGATTAAAAACCGGAGGGTTGTCATTTATGTCAGAAATGTGGATATGAACCAGAACCTCACTGCTCAGTGATGGAAAACCATTATCAGTTGCTCTGACTTTCAAAGTACAGTGTTGTACTAACTCATGGTCCAGCATTCTTGCCGTCAGGATTAAGCCACTTGAACTGTCTATGTGAAAATAATCTGTGCTGTTGTAGGTATCCTGCACAATCTGATAATGAACCATTTTATTGTTTCCTGAGTCTATGTCAGAGGAGACAACTTGCAAAACAGGTGTGCCAATGAGAGATGCTTCTGATAATGTTGTATTGTATGTGTGTTGATCAAAAATAGGAGGGTTGTCATTGATATCATTAACTAGTAAGTCAACAGTGACTTCAGCCCTAGCACCAGTAAGGGTATCACTGGCCCTCACTGTTAATTTGTAAATAGAGGTAACTTCATAATCTAAAGGACTAACAACTTTCAGGACTCCAGTATCAAAATCAATGTTAAACTGCTGAAAAGGATCCCCATCAATAATAATATATATGATGCCTTGACCTTCTGGGCTGGTTGCATTAATGCTTAGAATAGCAGTGTCCATTCTAATGTCTTCATTGATGGATGCTGTATAAAATGGCTTATCGAACACTGGCATTGCTTTGTTGACAATAGTGATGGGAAGTTCCACAGATGTGGACAAAGAGGGCTTTCCACCATCTTTGGCTACAACAGTGACTTCATACTCAATATTGGACAAGTCAGAGTTGAATGCTTCTTTTAAAATAACATTCCCTGAATTAGGGTTAATTTCAAAGTGGCCATAATCATCCTGAAGGACATAGGTCACTTCTCCATTTGCACCTTTATCTCTGTCAATGGCTGTCACCCGGTATATCAGAGTCCCAGGCTCAGCATCAACTTGCACAGCAGCATAGTAAGGGAGGCCCACAAAGACTGGAGAATTGTCATTTATGTCTTCAATGTTAACCCTGACCACCACCCTAGCCACACGTAGATGGTCTAGCTCACGACTTGTTTCCACGACCAACTCATATAATTCTTGCTCTTCACGGTCAAAGGGAACTCCAGTGGTCTGAATGACTCCTGAGGTAGATTTTATATTGAATTTGTTTCCTGGGTTTAAAATGCTATATTTTAAGGGCTCATTAAGGCGATTTCCAACTGCATTGACAATAGCAACTTTGGTTATGTTAGTGTTGTTCTCTAAGATTGAGGTGGAATAAAAGCTTTGTGTAAAGTGGAGGCCACTGTCCATGGCTTCTTTAACCATGATGGTGACCATGGATGTGCTGTAGAACTTCCCATCAGACACTTTAACTATCAGCATATAATGATCTTTGGAAAGGTTGTTGTTTTTTATAGTGAGTACTCCACTATTTGAGTCAATTAAAAAATTATCCAAGCTGCCTTCCATTAGGCTGTATGTCAGTTCAGGGGGCACTTCAGAGTCAGGATCTGTGGCACTAACTCTCAGAACCTCCACTCCAACATAGGTAGGGAGGAGTAAGACAGTCTCAAACACAGCTTGAGTGAAAACAGGTGGGTTATCATTCACATCTGTCACCTCAATGTTGACTTCGACAGGACTGTCTGCAGTCAGCTGGGGGCTCCCACTGTCTCTCACATGCACATGAAAATGGAAGTGGGCAATGGTCTCATGGTCTAGGTTCGCAATTGTTCTGATTGCACCTGTACTGGAGTCCACTGTGAAAAACTTCTTGGCTGTGGACTCTACAATCTGATACACAAGCAGTGCATTCTGGTTACTGTCAGCATCGGTGGCTCGAATCACCAGTGGACTATTATCCAAGCTCCTGACAATGCTATTGACTGGGGCTGCCTCACTCAGACTGCCTGAGTACTGAGAAAAGAGAAAGACTGGAGCATTATCATTTTCATCAACAACTTGAATATTGACTGTGGCGTTGGAAGCCATCCCTGCCATGTTAGTGGCCTGAATGATGAGTTGGTAAGAAGAAGTATGTTCATAATCCAGAGCTCTTCTAGTGGTGATGACTCCAGAATATGGATTGATGGTAAAGCTTGCATCAGTGTTTCCATCTTTAACTTCATAAATGAGGGTTGATTGACTGATGGCAGAGATCAAAATGACTGATGTTCCAACATCAACATTCTCGTTTACTTCAGCTTGGTAGTCTTGGTGAGTGAACTTGGGGTGAGAGTTATCAGACATGGTGACAGAAATGCGCACAATTGCAGTGGCTGACATTGGTGGGGAACCTTGATCTGTGACTTTGACTGACAGAACAAACTGACCCATTGTTGTCATGTCTGGTTCTTTGGAAATAGTGATGATGCCCAGGACTGGTTCGATCTTAAATGTGGTCCCAGTATTCCCTAAAATGCAGAAATCAATGGGGCAAGGAGTTACAAGTGGGTCAACAGAATCTCTTTATAAGATTAACACTTCATCCAAAAGCAATTCAGATTATCAACAGTTTCTTATTTCATCAGAGACCTCGTAAATTGTTAGTGAAAAGAATGGTCACAGATTTGAACAGTAACCTTAGAATTTGTTATATGTATTTCAGTGTCTGTCTGTATTTATGCCCATCAGAGTGGAACAGGGCAGGAGTGAAGAGTGGGTGGTAATCAGGTAAGTCCTCATACCTTGCAAAGCAAACAATGACCTTTTATTGTAATGTGGCCAGCAGACAGCAACTTCTTGTGTTCATTCCTTATCATTCTGATAAAAATGACAGAGGTCTCTTTCTAGGATATTGAAGGCAACTGAAATAAGTTTTCCAGTAAAATTATTAATTTTTTAATCAGTAGCTTTTGGGTCTAGGTTAAAAGTATCAGCAGTCATGGTAGCAACAGCAATAACACAATACTGTGTACATTCAAGGTGAGAAATGAGGAAGTTTTTAGGAGAGATATTTCTGCTAAGAATGTGCAGGACTTCCTCATTCCTAACCTGGGAGGAGACAGATAGGCACATAACATTGCCATTGCTACTCCTATCTACCTGTCTGTCCATGTATCATTTATCTATCTATCTCTCCCTAAATCAAGCCATATCCAGTGTTTTACACTAAAAGAAGGAGTATTGTAGTAATAGTTTTGGAGCACTACTATATTGTCATTTAGTTTCACATTATATTCAAGCTAACATTTGCAACATGAAATTATTGTTATTTCACTCTACCAAGATTGACATCTTCCAGTTTTGATGAGGTGGGTTCTATCAGCTATGGAACATTCTTCTCAGGTCACATTTCTTCAAGTGGTGAGAACTTCTTCGGATTCCTTCTCTGTTCTGCACTCCTGCTGTACTGTTCTACCACAGCCTCAACACACAGACACCGAAGTACACATAAAATAGTCTAAGGAGGTTGCTTCCATCTGTAACCATTCTATTCACTAAACACTTAAGAGCTTTCTTATGAAGCTGGAAATTCAAATCAACCTGCAAGCCAAGACCTTGAGGAATAAGGTATATGTAATGTGAGGGCTTTCTGAAGAAAGTGGGAGACATGGAATCCCGCATGGACAAAATTGGAAGAGCTGTGGACCATGACCTTGTTTTCAGGTTTGTGGCTCTGCTCTGCAGTAATTTGGAATCTAGGATTGTTGAGGGTGATAAAATACAAAATGGAAAACACGAAAGTTGAAGAACATAAAGAAGGGTAAATGGTGACACAGAGCTAAAAAGTAGTGGACAACATGCTTTATGTTTCCCTCTTCAAGCTTCCTGGCACATCTCAAAAAACACAAGTTAAAGTTCCTGGCTTTCAAGTATACCTAAAGAACATTTAAGTATCAAAATCATTAAGACAGGACTCAGGATTCAGAGAGTTAGTTTGTATGATATGCTTAGTGAAACAAACAGCACATAAAACTGTATACATGTTTCTTGTTATATACTAATTAAATAGATTTTTCCATGTCTAAACAGAAAAGGATTATATTCGTATAAAATTTACCAACTTATTTATTTTTTAAAAGGAAGCATATCTAATAAAGAGATCATTTGATTCCAGCTTCAAGATGTGAATATTAAACAATGTTATATTTGATATCCACATGACTTTACATTGCCACCTACACATGACCATTTCATGATGACAATAACAACAAAAAGTTCAATGATTTCTTAAAAGTAAGCTTTCAATGAAGAGCACCATGGAACTGAGCCAGAAAGCATTTCCCATAAGCAGTGGTTACTTTTCAGAGATGGCACCAATGCTGACGGGTCTCTGTGCTCACTAATTATGGGGTCCTACCTCAGGCTTTTTAGGGAAGTCCTCCCTCACTCTAGGTCCAGGAGCACTTCTTCATCCTTAGAAGACACCTTACAGTGGACACTAAGTGGAGCCAGCTTTTAAACTTCAGGAGCACTTCATGCAGTCCCATGAGGCCTAATCTGCATGTTGTACCTTCCCAGCACACTGTGTTCATGCATCAGCTCCTCCTCTTTTCCTCCTCCACACCTTGGAATCCACTTCCTGCTTATTATTTCCTTCTAATCTAGGATCTTTGGAACTAAACCTGTCCTGGTTTCCTGCAATCTGTGGCTTCTTGTGGACTTTGTTAACTGGGTACAAGCTATTCTTCTCTTTCCTATCATTTATCTGGGACATAGCACAGTGCCTGCCACAAAGAAGGTGCTCAGTAGTTATTTGCAGAAAGAATGAGAAAAGAGATTGATCTAAAAAAGGTTTTAAATTCTCTATGTGTATGCGTCTTATGATCCACCAAGGCTCCATCTGATTGAACAGTTAGGCTGCGGGTTTCTCTTACACTCTGCTGCCCAGAGCCATCACTGTGGAGGGGCTTACCAGCTCTAAGAGACTTACTGTGCAGATGGCAATTCCTATTATTGTGTACACATATATAATCAAACATCTTTTTTCCTCTCAGATCTTAATCCTTTCTGTAGTTTTTCTGGAAATTTGAGTTATATTTATAAAGGAAATTTAAAGGAAATAATTTTTTTCTTGTTTTAGCTCATTGTTAAGAAATGCCATAGAACCAGGCTGGAGTTCAAAACACAAGTGGAGCAGTCTTTCTCCTGGACGATAAGTTAATCACTTCTTGGGAAACTCCCTATGGTTTTAAAAACTATCTGGCTATCTAGAGAAGCCGTAGTCTCCATAAGCTGCTGTAAAAAGCAGGTAGAAGCAGACAGACAAATATTTAGAAAAAATGACAAAAAAAGTTAAAAATAGGCTTTGTATACAAATAAGAAACAATGTATAGGCATCAATGAATGGAGGGAGAAAATGATTAGGAAAAATCAAAAAGAGAATTGCCAGATTAGATGACATTTTCTTGGAAAGATTTCCCTTTGCTATTTGTGGAACCAAAAGAATAAAGATTATACAATTAAATAATAAAACATGTTGTGTGGTAATCAAGAGATGCTAAGTAGCATTTCAAAGCACTAGCAAAATTTTAGGTTGAAAGAAAATCTTATGGAAATCTAAAAAATAAATGGAGGAATTCTCTTGAGGCACCTGGCTGTTAGCGATCAACAATTTTCTTTTTCTTTCATTTTCTGTTTAGAGGTTAATACAGACTCAGGTAAAATTTTGGGGTCTAAAGTAGTTTTAGACTATTACTTGATTTTTAAAAAGTTGGTACCCTATTTCTGTTTTTTTCTTTTTCTCCTTCATAAAAAAATGAAATGAAAAAAAAAGTTGGTTATTGGCTTTTCTTTTGCTAACATTTCTAATCCAAGACTGTCATTCTAGCATTTCTATTTTAATTCAGCTACTCATAAAAGTGTCCTACATTTATATGAAAGGAAAGAAGCCTTTCTATTGCTGGCATGAAAGGAGAATGTGCTTGGCATTATGCATGGCAGACATAATGTTGCAGAACATTTTGGAAATGTGTGGTTTGAATAATCCAAGAGACAGAACAAGGGAAGGAAAATAGAGTAGATAAAGGATATCTGTCACTTTTAGGTCCACAGTCCTATCTCTTGCTTGGACATTTATTGCTGTGTCATAATGCTGTCTAGTTATCCATCTTCAAATCATGAGTAAATTATGAGCTTATCCTATACATATTGAAATTAGTTTTTTAAAAAAATCTCAAATTTAACAAAGCAGGCTGTGGTTATTTATCTGTCAGGTTAAACAGGTAATTCAAACCCTCATCTTCTAACTATCTTTTACTCAAACTGCCTCCAATGAAGCTTGTGCTAATGATGGGAGTTCTGAAGCCCACAATCCACCTCCTGATAAATAAACAAAGATATGTGAGATTCAATTCACAGAACAGCTCTGAGGTGATGGCAGACTTTGGTTATTCTAGTCTGAGGCCATGGCTGGTTGGGCCATGGGTAAAAGCCCCAGAATGTATTGCACATTTCTTCTCCGTTCACCATTCCACAGAAAATTTGAGACTGAGCACAAAGAGGAACTCTTTTCTTGCTGTCCATAATAAAAAACATCACTGAAATGCCAAGAACTTTACACACCATCACACATAAATAGGATGGTTGCTTGGCCAAAAATTTCATTTAGAGTTATAACAATCTGCATTTCACAAGGTGGTACAGTGCCATGCATTACACTGAAATCTGTGCAGTGCAGCAGCTCTCACCTGCTTCTATGGTATATATGAGTTCTGCATTTTCCCCTTTGTCTTTGTCCAGAGCCGTCACTTGCAGAACAGCTGATCCCAAAGCAGCCGATTCAAACACAGATGCTTCATACAGTGGGTTGGTAAAATAAGGACTGTGATCATTAGCATCTTCCACATTCACAATGACTCGGGCCAAGTTTCTTCGATAAGGAAACTCCTGATCTCTGACCTTTAGGCAAAATACAAGAAGGAGTAGGACTAAAACCTTAAATTGCAAAAAACTCATGTGGCTATGAAGCAGTGAAGTCACAATGAGATAATTTGATGCACACGAAGTGCTTGACCCAACCCTGACACCTAGTAGGTGCTCACTAAGTAGGGATATTACCAAGAGATTGCTTTTGTACAAATGAAGAATGGGGTCACTTCATCTTTACTGTCTGGTTAGATGCCTGGCCTATCATCTGGGCTTTCTCTATGCCTGTAGAACTGATATCTTGAGAGTGCAATCATAGCACTCTGCTCTAAGTCCCTACACAGCTACTTCCTGCTTGTTATATATGTAAAGCTGCTCATGGAATGGTGAGTGGTGGCTCTTTTAAAGGGGAAATAAAGAGTGGAATATATGAATACAATGCTTCATGGGCATTCATTCATTCATTCATTCAACACACCTTTATTGTTATCTACTGCCTATCAAATCCCTGTGGTTTAGTAGTAAAATGGGTATCGTCCTTTCCTCAAGAAGATTAGAGTGGGGAACTCAAACAAGCAAATAAGCACAGCACACAGTACTAACTGAAGGCATGGGATACATTAAAAGTGCACTTAAAGACAGTAGGAAGAAGAACTTAACCCAGTGTCTGACTTCTTGGAAGAGGCAGCAAGCCCAAGTAGAGGCAGCAGAATGGTGGTGATGATGGCATGTGGTGCTTCCTTACTAGAAGACTCAGTATTTACAAAGGCCAAGAGTTGAGAGAGGATCCTGACTCTGGTAAGATGAAGCCAATCTTAATTTTTAAAAGTTGAAACCTAAGTGTGATTTTACCAAAGCACTTTGCCCCAGAGCTTTACAACTCCCCCTGTTTGGCAAATGGGAGAAGTTTATAAACAGTGTGGTCTTTAACCACAACCAGATGATTCTGCTATCATTTGATGCAGCACTAATCAAATGTGTATTTTTGGCTTGTTCAATTTTAGACTGTCTGATTTCCCAGAAAGATGTAAAGATATGACATAATATACAGAAAGGAGCCGTCAAAAAGAAAGAGGGTTTCATAAATAGCACCTTGAAGGAATTGGTAAAATAGCTAACACGGCTTGGAGAAAGGTGGCATGAGGGACTTATTTGTTCTTAATTTTCAGTAACATAAATGACAAATGGTACAAGGTGACCAAACTGAATTATAGTTTTAAGGAAAGAATGAACAGAATTGACTAGAACTGTGAGAATGGAGTTAGCCACCAGCACAAGGCTTCTTCTTTCAAAGAAAGCTCATACAAAATTGATCCAGTGAGTATGCTGAATTTCTACAGATTTGTCTGCCACACCTAAAGCACAAGCTGAACTCTTTGTCACAGGGTTATTGGCACAGGCTGGTTGCATTTGAACATTGGCTCTAAACATGCAGGAACTTTGTCCCTTTTGTGTCCGCAGAACCTAGAGCAGTGCTGGATGGACACTGCATGCTTAAGAAGTATCTCTTGAATGAATGAATGAATGGTCAAAGGGATGAATTAGATGACTCAGTGAGCTGCCCCTTTGCTTCCTTAGAGTTTTAGGCAGAAACCATAGGCAAAGGCAGGCAACATAAAATTCCTCTTGTCCAGGAATGTTTCCCATCTCATGAAAGAAAAGTAGCATTTAGTGAACTATTATTTTTAGCTGCTTGGGAATTTGTAGAATCTTAGTGTATTTTAAAGCCAATCAGTACACAAACTTAACTTTTTGTCATCCTACCTGGTCTTCAGGAGCACAGTGAGGCTCTGATAGATCTCTTTTGTGTTCCTGTACTTAGTACTAGGTCCAAGGTCAGTGTAGTAAGTAGTAAATTGGGTCTGTAAATGCTTCCGGTGACTGAAGATTGCATAGGTTGTAAATGATTGCCTTTGTGACTAACTTCTAAAGGAACTTCTTTTAAAAGTTTTCACATTATATTCTAGAAGTGAACCAATCATACAGTCTGGGAATATGGCCTGTTTCTTCCCTCTCAAGCCAGTCTGTCAACAGCATTTACAGAGCTGCTAACATCTGCAGAATTTATGTAATGCTTCAATTTGGCTGGGGGATATATATATATATATATATATATATATATATTCTAACAATGGTAATTCTTCATTGAAATAAAAAGACAAAAAAAATGAATGCAACCTGGCAATGAAAAGACCAAATTTACTGCTATTTCCAAAACCAAAAGGTCCCACACTTCTGAAGACTAGGGTATTTGTGCCTTGCACTGTTAATGGTTCTGTCAGGAGAGCAAACCAGCAGTTTGGTCCTACCATTATGTTGAGAATATGCTTATCCTGGGCCTCATGATCCAGTCTCTCAGCAGTGTAGAGCACACCAGTGGTCGGGTCAATCCGGAATTTTCTCATGCTGGTAGAATCGATGCTGCTGTGGACAGTGTAGCTCAGCTTGTGCTTCTCATCTCTATCTGTGGCTTCAATCTGCAGTATTTCTGTATCTGGAAGCACATCCTCAGAAATTGTCACATCATAATTTGGCTGAGAGAATTCTGGGCCATTATCATTATTGTCCAACACTTTGATAAATACCTGTAGTTAAAAGAAGACCAGAGCAATGACTAGTACCAGCTCACTCATTGCCAATAAAAGAAGTCTCCTCCCTCTCTCTTTTCCCCTCCATGTCCTTAGGACCTAGGTTCTAGCAGCTTTCTCAACATGTAGGAAGCTAGGAAGCTCTCCTATAAAAACACTGTAATGAGAGACGGACCATAAACTAGTAGCACACATTGGGAGGAACATAAACTATGAGCTGATAAATATTTTCACTATTAATTGGAAAATGTGGCAGCTACCAGAAGGTATAAGGTGGTCTTCATCTTGTAAATTTTTACTATTGAAAGTTCTTTTTTTTTGTACCGGAGATTGAACTCACGACCTTGAGCTTGTTGGGCAGGCCTTATGCTGCGGAGCTAAACCTCAGGCTATTAAAAGTTCCTGTTACATGTTTCTTCTCATGGTAGAGGTATGTGGTGAGGGTGACAGGAAAGGAAGAGTCACAGAGACAGGCAGAAGGGAGAGACAAACAGGTGGACTTGGCACAGTCAGAAATTCCCTACATTGCCCACACCTCGAGATTTTCCTTCAGATGGGAGCGATATTGCCAAGAACACGGTGCCAGTGATACATAAAATAGAAGTTTCCAAATTGTTGTCTTTCATAAAGCAATGTCTTGAAAATTTCCAGTGAGAGATAAAAGTAATCGTTCAATGCGTGATTTTGTATTCATTGCTCAGCTTTGACAATGATCAGCTCATGGCTACTGGGGTTTCCTCTATCCTTGCTTCATGCCCATCTGCTGCTCCAAGTATTTTGAAACAAATGCAGCTATTATATACTTTAAACACATGTCTTTTTAAAATACTGTTAGAATAAACAAAAACACACATTTAATGGTATTGTTGTACCTAAATGGAGAGTACAGTGATTCTTAAATATCATCAATTAGTGTTCATATTTCTCCAGTTGTGTTAACACTTTCTGTATGTGCTTGTATGTGTGTATGAGTATATATTAATGTATTTTAATCTGGAATGAGGTCCAAGAATTGCAATTGGTTAATATATCTTTTAATTATGTTTTAATTTATAAATGTCTCTTCTAATGCTATTTCCTTGCCATTTTTATGCTATTATTGATGTTGAAGAAATGAAGCCATTTTCTCTTTAGCTCCCAGTAAGAATTTTCTTATAACCCCCTGTGGTTTTATTCTCAACATCTCTATGTTCCTTGTATTTTTTAATTTAATTTGTATTTTAAAGAAAGTAAAACCAAGCAAACTGAAAAGAATAAAGCCAATCAAAACATTAAAAAAAAAAAAAAAACAATGTAAGTGACACAGGGCTTCAAAACAATAGGAAATCAACAATGATTAGTATAATGCCTCTTATTGTCTTTAAAATAGCTGCAGATACCTTTTCAGACACAGTAAATATGAACAAAACAGAACAGAATAGAAACAATAAAAATAAAACAATGAATGCATTTAAGGACTTCAAGACAAGACAATAGCTGGGTATGGTGGCGCATGCATGTAATCCCACTACTAGTGTGGCTGAGGCAGGAGAATCATTGAGACTTCCAAACCAACTTGGGCTATGAAGTAGGTTCAAGGTCAACCTGAACTGCATACTGAAACTCTGTCTCAAAAAGACCAAAACAAACAAGCAAACAAACAAACAAAAAAGACAATAGTAAATCCAAAATGATTATCATAATATATCTTGTACTTTTTGAAAAAGCTTCCCGTGCCATCAGATATAACAAAATCAAACAAAACAGAATAAAACCCAACCCAACAAATCCATCAAAATAACACAGGATTTTAAAACAAGATAATAGGGAATTAACAATGGCTACCACCTTCAGAAGGATATTCCCCCCTAGATACCACACTGCATGCTGTTATCTTCTGCATAGATGATCAGACCACCAGCCTAGACCCCCAAAGTCAGTGAAACACCAAACACCACAAGCATCAAATTGCATTTCACCTCTATAGCTATCATTGCAGCCTGTATTTCTCTGGAACAGCTGGTTGCTTACAGGCTCTTGTTGTTTCCCAACCCTCATGAGGGAAGGGGCTGGAGTCTGGCTGTCTACCCCTGACCCCAGGCAGCTGTGCATGGGGTATTGATTCACAGGGAAGGCTTGCTTCTTAGTGACTTCTTGTTCTCTTCCCTGAATCTCTTATTTCTTGATCATTTGATCTAGGAGGCTCAAAAAGATTCAGGGTTCAATTTCTTGTTCCTTCTTCTTTAGATGAACATCTCTTCTGAACAACACAATGTACTTTTTTCTGAAGATGCATAACATCTAAATCTCTCTCTTATTCCGTGATAATCATTGTATGGATTAACATTCATTTGTTAAAATTTTCAAATTTTGATATTATAATTCTATGATGCTTTTGCATTTATTGGCTAGAATAGTTTTGTACAAAGAAATTTCACATCTATTTGGCTACTCTGAAGTACAGTTCATGTAGAAAGATAGGAAAAATATTTATTTTCCTCAATCACTTTGAAATAAGGTGGTGGTGCCTTTAAATCTTCTGAAAGTGACTAATGAAGTAATTTTTTCAAGCATTATTAGAAACTCATGAACTCAGTCACATCTGATTGTTTCTGTCCATTAAAGCAATGATTTTTATTAATGGATTGATGCAGAATTAGTCTTTTTATTGATCACAATAGTACTTTTTTGGCCAGTCAGATTGTCTTCAGGTTGGCTGAGATTCTTTTGATATAAACTCAGGACTCCTTGAGTGCTGTCTAATTGTTTCTGATTAATTTTTCCTGGATCATTTTGTATGATCTTTTGCATCAAAATCCTAAATGATTTATTTCCCCCCAAAGACTTGGTTTCTTTTTAGTTAGTAATAGAGTACACAATCTAGTGGTAGGAGTACTTACTGTTTCAATATTGGCTATTATGATTTTGAATATTTATTGGACTAGATAGAGAAGGATTTTTTAAAAGTAATTGTTTTGTGAGTTCATATTGCTATTATCATTTCACAATTAAAACATGTAGATTTTTACTTAATGTCACTGATTTTACATTTGTTTCTCCTTTCTCCTGTGGAAATTATGCTTGTTCTCAAACTAGGGATGATTTTATTACATAGGGAATTTGCAAAAATGTCACTCCAAAAATACACTGTCACAACTTAAAGTGGGGATGTTGCTGACATCTATTGTGTGTAGACCAGGAATGCTGCTAAACATACTGTCATGCACAGGACAGACCCAAAACAAAGAATTATCTGATCCCAAATGTCCTTAGTGTGGTTAAGAAAACGTCATGCATACTGAAGATAATTCCGCAGCATTATAGAGGTATTGCTCTACTGTTTAGATCTATCATAGTTAATTCTACTAGTCCGAGTTGCTGCTAATTTCAGATATTTTCAATTTTCAATTTTCAAAGTATGTGGAGAGCAGCCTTGTGGTCATGGTATTCTTTTTCATCATTTCTTTTTTTGGTAGCATATATTTGCATCTAAGAATTGGGATTTCTTCATTTGAGGGATAAGTCCTTTTATAATTTTGTTAGTTATTTCTATATTTTCCTTTTCTAAGGCTTTATCATTTTGGATTCCCACAGCAATCTATAAGAATAACTATCTCTCATGGGCTTGCCAAAAAAGCGAGTGTTAAGATCTGAGTTTTTTGCCAATATGATAGATGAGAAGTGGTATTTTAGTGTAGTTTCCATATTCTAACAGCCATTTGCTTTTCTTTTTTTGTTAGACCATTTATAACTGCTTATTCTTCTGTGGTTAGATGATCTTCTTTATTTTTGTTAATTTTGTGACATAAATTTCAAATATATTTTCAATTTTGTTATGTATTCGATGTTGCCCATAGTAATTTTTTTGCTGTGCTAAAGTGAATACATTGATCTTTCTTTCATAGATTCTGGACGTGAAGTCACAGTTTAGAATATTATCTGTACTTTTGATTTATAGCTAAACATACCCATCTTTTAAAAATAGCACTTCTATATTTTCTCTTCTTTCATTTATATTTCTAATCCATGTGGAACTTTCCTGGCATGTTGTGTGAGGAATCTTGGCATATTATTTGAAGACTGAATTCAGCTTTATTTTTTCCTACATGGCCCTGTAAGTTTCAATGCTACTTTCAAAAATGCTGATCACTTTCTATTGATTTGAGGAGCCACTTTTACTCTGTATTAAATTTACATATGCATTGATATATTTTTGAATTTTCTATTCTAATACAGTGGTTTATCTTTTTTTAATGCAAGAGTAACAAAATGTTTACTTGTAGAATTTTATGATATCTCTTAATGTTTGGAAGCCTCGGCTATCTTTTTGTTATTTGTCAGAGTATTTCTGGCTGTGTTCTTCCTCATACACTTTACAATCAAGTTGTATGGCTTGACAGTACTTTTCATTAGACTTATGCAAGGTTAGCTATGGGAGAACTGGTTTCTTTACACTGTGGTATTCCTCTCCAAGAACATAATTTGACTTTTCTCATATGCTCACATCTGCTGTCTTGGTTTTTTGAGATGTTTCTGTTTGCCTCAAGTATGTCTTGAAGATTTTTTAAAGGATATGTTTATACTAAGTAGGATCTTCTTTTTCAATATGTCTTTCTATTTTTTTCATGTTTTGGGCAATATAAATAGGCTATTTTTCTGTTAATTTATAATGATACTTTAGTAAATTTGCTACCATTTACAGTAGTTTTTCCAGTTACTCTGTGAAGGTTTTTAGATAGACCATTATATAATATGCAAATGGAGATGCTCTTCCCTTTCCTTTATAATTCTTAGTATGCAAGGTGTTTTACCTTGTCTGCTCACATCACTTAGTATTAAGAACAAAACGTTAAGCACCAGCGGACATAACAATGTTCTTATCTTTGCCCTGACTAATAAAAAAGCCTCTGTTGATTCTCCACTGTATAACACACTTACATTTGGCTGCACTGCAGGAAACTATTTAGTTTTTTGAAATAAATGTGGCCAGGCCATTGCTATCCTTATAAACAGATACA